TAAGATTTTCCTCAACAGAGGTCAGTTCTTTGATCCTAGAATGACAAATCTTTAATTGCTCATGAAGATCAATGTTAAGCATTTCAGCTTTAGATTTGCCATTGAGGGCATTGTAAAGGTCAACCGTCAGCGTATCCAGTGTAGAAAGACTAGAAGAAGGTTCATTCAGGGTACATACCTGAGTAACAGAAGATGGCTTAGAAGAGGTAGATGCTTTAGAAGAACCTTCGTCAGCATCAATAGCCATCAAGTAGACATAAGCTTTATCTTTATCGTCAGAAGATGATTCATCAGATGATTCAGCCCAGTCATGCTCTTCAGCAATAAGGCCTTTAGCCTTTCGCTGGTTGTTCTTCATCTTCTTATATTTCTCCTTCAGTTTTGAGTATTTATCATATGTGGTCCTGAAGGAGGAAGGAGCTTTAGAAGATGGCATCACAATCTTCTTGGATCTGCATTCACCTGCAAAATGTCCAGGCCGGTGACAGTTGTAGCAGACAGCTGAAGCCTTGTCTATTCTTTCAGACATTGGCTTCTCTCTTAGGGATAGCTGAGGAGATCTACGAAATTTGCTCTTGTTGGAAAACCTCCTAAAAGACTTAGTTAGGAGTGCCAGGGACTCATCAAAATTTGATAAATCAGATTCTGGAATGTCCTCAGAAGAGTCAATCTCCGTGATGACCACGGGAGGTGGAGAAGAAACAAAAGGAGTAGAAATTTCAACTGAAGGGGATTCAGAGATCAAAGCTAAAGGAGAGCTTTTCATTTCCCTGGATTCTTTTACAAGATTTCTTTTCAGTTGACGAGATTGCTCATGGTTAAGCAGAATCCCGTATAAAGACGAAAGAGAAAGGGAGGACATGTCATTTGACATCTTGAGACACATGAAAAAGGTGTCCCAAGACTCAGGAAGACATTCTAGAAACTTAGTCAAAGTTTCAGAAATTAGAATATTCTCTGCCGACAGTCCTAAGATCAATAAGAAGGCAGTTAAATCTTTGATGTACTTCAGACAGCATCTCGGACTTTCCACAGAGAAATCTTTCATACTGTCTTACTAGATTGATCTTTCTAGTCTCCTGAACCTGAGAGGTTCCTTCATATTGGACACATAGAGTATCTCATACGGATTTAGAAGATTTGAGTTTCATCAATGAGTGATAGATCTCATCAGAAAGAGACATAGCTATTATACACCGAGCACGCATCTCATCAGAAAGAGACATAGCTATTATAGACCGAGCACGCGTGTCTATAGTTATTTTCTTCTTGTCCTCATCGCTCCATTGATGTGGAAGCTTTGGAATCTGCCGTTCAGGAATCGCGGTAGTCGTAGCTGTTGCTGGAACAGCCGGAACAATAACAAATGGAATATATGGTCCATTTTCTATATAATGTGGAATTTCAGGATCGACACCTTCCAGAAAGAGGGACATCCGGTTCTTCCAGAGACAAAAGTTGTCACGGACAAACCAGGGAGGTTTGGCAAGAGAGCCATTATCTTTTGTGTGTGTGTTTGTAATATGTAAAGCCATTTGAAAGCAGTAAGTTATCTAAGGAGAGATAAATTAATACAGAGAAATAACAAAACACAAGGAAAGAAAGAAAACATTGCTCTGATACCACTTGTTGGTCCTGAAAGGGTCTACAAGATAAGAAACAGTTTGTAGAAAGGGGGGATGAATACAAAGACAATGTTTTCAAATTTAAAATATATATTGATAGAGAAGATCAATACAGATTTTATAAGACTGTTTGCGGAAAGATAAGGTAAAGAAAAACCTATCTAAACAATCTTTGGTTACACACGAAGCTATAGCGAACACAGAAAAGAGAATGCTATATGATAGATCCTTTACTTAAGCTAGAGRATGCTTGAAGTAAGAATTAGGTTGAAGAGTGATGCGCGCACTCTGCAAAGAGAAGAAACACTTCTATTTATACCCAGTGCATTAAATGAACATTTAATGCAATATGGTAGGTTTAGAGTGCATGTCAAGCCTTAAGAGGAAGGCTTGTCCTTTGCTACAGTGAATAGTACAAAAGCACTATTTTTGAGCAGACATCCTTGCCTAAAGTTGGTGGACAAAGAGTCGACTAATCGGCTCCATACCGTACTAACTTTTGCAAGGGTATGGGTTTGTCCTTTATGTGCATAAGGACAAGACAACAACTATCGTGCTAAGCAAGCTTCTTTTGATTGCTGAATGCTGGGATGACCTGGAGGTCTCATCATCATTCGCTGAAGCTAGAGCAGTCTTCACACATATGTAGATAGGTTTGTAATCACTGAATACCGCTTCAGATCACGTACTCGCCAATCTCTAATCTTTAGTTTCAGTCTTCGATGTTCGCTGAAGGTTCTTTGGTGTGAGTGTTGTCTTCTTGAAGTATTGTTGTCTCTGATGAATTTACAATGCAAGTTTTTCAGTGATCACTGAACATACTCAGTGATAATCGCTGGAACTGAAAATACAGAAACACAAATACAACGTGAAAGGAAAAAGGGATTATCATCAAATCATTGAGAGAGAGGATCAACACTTAAGTAATAGGAGTTGCAGCAGTAATAACCTGTACCTGTACCTCTACCTCTGAAGGAGTGATCATGGCTTCAAGTTTTTGAATAATGATCAAAGCCAATTCAGAAGATAACAACACAACTTAAGAATTACTACCTTCCTTCTTTAGACTTCTTTTTTGGTTGAGGTTCAGAGGATTTAGGGCATCTCCAATGGTTGTTTGAACAAAGCTTAATCAAAGACTTGATCATTGGAGATAATGATTTGAAGAGGCCTTTTTTTATCAACAAGTCTTTGAAGAAATGGATGTGAGTGTATTATGGTGGGACCAAGATTTTTTTTATTATATACTTTTATCTTGTTCAAGTCTTTTACATGGGTCAGCCATTGTAGATGCTCTTAAGTGGAGATGCAGCTTTGTAAGGTGTTAACTCTGTCTGATAGGCTCTCAAAATCAGTAGCAGAAGAAACAGACGTAGTAGCATCAGATGATTGTAGTATTTGTTTTACGGGTTCTTGTAAATGGACAATTGTATATAATCAATCATATTTAAGAGATTTTAAAAAATGTTTATCAACTATTGAAGGAAAGTTATGGTGAGAAATGTAACACGAGATCTTGATCATTTTTAATATCATGTCCACCCATAAATTACGCGTTAAAAGAGAACTAATATGGTGCATCTCGGTTCATCTTATTAGTGTTGATATTCAATTATGATTGGTATAAGAGAAAAAAATCTTTTCTTACGCTTTTCACCATAATCCAACCCCTACTGAGTAATACTTAGGGTGCGTTTGGTTTGCAGGAATGTTTTTGAGGGATTTGGATTCCATGGGATTTGGATTGGATTGGATTGGATTTGAAATCCATTCCTCTGTTTGGTTTGTAGGATTTGTAGTATTGGGTCTCCTTACTCAAAAGAGCTAGCAACTGTCTATGGTCTGTACAGGATTCCTCAATGAAGCAAATTATCGAGAACTACAGAAATCGAAAAGGCGACGGAGATGAAGGGAGACGAAGGGCGATGGAGACGATGGGCGACGGAGATGGTGAGCGACGACCACCGACGGAGGCGGCGACGGAGACGAAGGGCGACGGCGACGGAGACGAAGGGAGACGAAGGGCGACGGAGACGGTGGGGGACGGAGACGGTGAGCGACGACCACCGACGGAGGCGGCGACGGAGACGAAGGGCGACGGCGAAGGAGACGAAGGGCGACGGCGACAGAGACGAAGGGAGACGAAGGGCGACGGAGACGGTGGGCGACGGAGACGGTGAGCGACAACCACCGACGGAGGCGGCGACAGAGACGAAGGGCGACGGCGACAAAGACAAAGGGCGACGGCGACGGAGACGAAGGGAGATGAAGGGCGACGGAGACGGAGACGAAGGGAGACGATGTAAGCTGTGGGAGAAGATGGAGACGAGTTAGGGAAAGCATGTATGCTGTGGGAGAAGATGGAGACGATGTAAGGGAATGGATTTCAAATCCCGTGTATTTTCAAAGGATTTCCAAATCCAGCGTTTAAGGGATTTCAAAGGAATCCATGGATTTCAAATCCTCACAATCCAGCAAACCAAACACAGGGTTGGAATGGATTTCAAATCCAAATCCTTCCAAATCCCTCCAATTCCTGCAAACCAAACACGCCCTTAATGCTTATTAAGTTGTATTAAGATTTTTTTACCAAATTATTTACTCCTACCGTCCTAAAATAAGTGTCTATCAGTCTATGTTTTTATTTTAGTTTGTCTTAAAATATTCGTCCACTTTCAAAAGCTTATGTTTACTTTTCCATTTTACCCTTAATTATGAGATTATTGACGATAAATTGTCTTTTGATCAATTAAAAAAATGTAATAATTACATAGTATTACAAAAAGGTGTGGGAATTTATTAGAGGACTTATGAAGTAGAAGAGAACAAAGATAAAAAAAAAAGAAGTCGAGGGGGGCAAAGTGTAAGATTTCCGTAGTAGATGGGGATCATTTGATAGATTGTAATAGGTTGGAGGGGCGAAGTAAACGTCACTGTTCTTCCGAGAAAATTCACTTTCTTCACCCAGTGAGAGTTTCAGAGAAGTGACCTAGATTGTGGAATCCTTATCGAGAAATGAAGGATTGAAGTTAAACATTGGAAATCATAGATGCAATGAAGATGGATTCAGTTTTACCGCAGAGAATGATAACCTTGGATTTCTATGGCGTTTTGTTTCTGCTGCTACAGATCGTGGCATGTTTTAGTCGTTTACTCATATATGCGTCTGGTAACATCTTCGTTGCACCATTGACTTTTACTGATTGGTTGTCTTGCTTCCTTAAGTTACAGATAGCCTAATCTGTTGCATCATCTTTACCTTGTAATCTTAGTATATGCCTAGTTATTCACATACACTAACACGATTGACATGATTGATTGGGGAGACTGTGTTTTCTGAGATTTCGTTATTTTATGGTATTAAAGATTGTGGAATTTTATTTGTTGTGTTCAATGAAGCGTTGCTCCCTCTAATTTCTTATCGCCAGATATAGTAGCTCAGTCACCATATGAGAAAGAAAAAGGAAACTAAAAAGCAGAACAGACCATCCAGCAGAAGCACTCATAGATAGTTCTCATCTGAAATAACATCGTCATTAATCAGGTGATATTAGACTATGCGAAGTTGGAGCCAGATATTTCAATACTTGACTGTTAGGGGCAATCATGTTTTTTTAACAACCTGGATATTCAACCCTGTGAGCGGACTAATCCAATGGGTGACCACCCGCTTCGTGGGTAGCCCGGAGTCACCGCATTTGAACCTACTTGGCCACAAGGGGATTTTTGTTCCTCCTTGGATTCGAACCTTGGACCTCCATGCACTTTTGACCTTTGGAGCCCAAGCTCAAACCAATCGGCACCACCCTTGTGGTTAGCCAGTTAGGGCAATCATGTTTTGTTGTTGACCTTTGATGATCTCTCTTTAATCTTGCATAACGTGCACATGCGTTCTGTTGGGGCTTTCCGGATACCTCATTCAGTGTAGCTGCCAATTTCTCAATGGCATAGGGCTCGTATGGTCACACTTGGCTATCTTTCAAACTTGCATTCTTTCCTTTATCTTTCTTTCATGTACTAGCAAGAAGTGGCTTTCATATTAAGTTTCGAGTTTCTTTTCTTACTTCTTGTTATTACTAAAATAGTGACTGCAAGGCCCCAATTCTTGACTGGGGGGGACACCAAAGGACTCTGCCCTTCCATCCCTTAGGATAGATAGAGATGGAGGGCAGAGATTTTGGTTTTTCATGTTGTCAAAGAGTTGAACAATGGTTTTTTCTTGTTGTTAAAGAGTTGAACAATGAATATAGATGGCGAGTGCCTGATCGAATTGATCGGGTCATGTAAGAACAAGGTTCAAGTCTACTGGTTTGTTAGGATGCCTCAACTGCATACATCACTATACTTCCACTTGACACCTATCGTAATGATAAATGGCTCCCATGAGGGCACCAGGTACATGGATGCCTGGAAAGCTTTGGAGAATGTGTTCTATTGTTATGATGTTATCCAATCACTACTTCTCCAGTTGAATTGCTTGTAAAACATGGTTGATTTTCTTCACTTTCTAATGCTATTGAGAATCTTAGGCATCTTTGTTGGTTGTTGTATTCACTATTGTTCAGGATATTAAGACATGGCAACTATATATGCACTAATCCTAGATGGAACAGTTTTCCGAATGGACGCTTCAACGGCCAAGTCAATACCTAATGAAGAGCATGCATGCTCTTCGGTGAATATGGTCCATGCTAGCCAAAAGGTTCTTTTTATGCCAATTCGTGAACTGCTTAGGGATCCCCCTAAGATGATGTCCGACAACCAAAGAGCAAAAAGGGACGGGGGGATTGTGGTCTTTATTATGTGGTTTCTAATGAACTAGGTTAGGATCCTTATGCTTTAATGCTTTGCTATCAAATGGAAGCTTTTACACAAAAGATGGCTATCCACGAGGTTTTGACAAGTTTTATAGTCTCTTTTATGCAAGTTTATTGGAACTATGTGGCGAGCATGATCAACTTGCATGGGTGAATCATGGACTATCTTTCGAGCTTGTGTTAGTCCATCCAAGCTAATAATGAGGACCCATTTTATCTTCCCTAACGTGGTTTAACAAAACCATATAGAAAGTCCCATGAGACATGTTGCTCTTTTCTTGGAGATTCTTGTAAGGACTTGTTTTCATGCCATGGAGGTTGTTGACACAGTTTGTCAAAGTCTTATGTTGTCTCTTCTCGTTGAGTGGTCACATTTCTTATGATGAGGGCTTTAGGGGACAACTTTTTGGAACTATAGAACGTTTTGTAATAGATATTGGATTGTTAATTGTAGGGACCTCTAGTACCTTATGTGACTCTCTTTTAAAGGTAATAAAAATGCTTTTGCATGAATGATTTGTTTTCTTTGAAGACCTTTTAAGGTATATACACAAAAATTCAGAACTCCTCTTTTGTACTTGAGCATCGTAGAGCTTAGCGATAGAGTGATTTGTAGAGTGACATATCTCTTTGATGAACACCACTTGTAGAACTTTTTGCACATCTATTGATGGTTTGAGTCTTCTCTCTTTTGTTTGATGGGTAGGACATTTTGGTTGATCTTGAGCCCATGCATTGTTACTTGTGGGGTCAATGCCAAACATATTTTGGTTGTCCAAGCAAACATGTCAATGTTGTGAGGAAGACTTGATAGCAGATTCCTATGAAGGTAACTTGTCACGTTCATTCTCTTGTAACGGCAGGGAGACAAGGTCCTCGACTTGGTATTCATTTTCTTGTTCATTTTTTTATGTTGCATATTTGAGGTTGGTAATCATTTCCATTTCGGTGGAGATGGGTGAGATGGAGTATCTTGGATGAGATTTCCCAAGGGATCTAGAGGAGTGTTTCATGGTGTATGTTAGTTGCTAACAACATTGTGCTGTAGCGGAGTCGAAGGTAGAGGTCAATAAGAGGTTGGAGCAGTAGAGGGTGGCTTAGGAAACCCGAGGCTTGCATAGTAGTGGCTCTAAAGTGGAATACATATGGTGCAATTTTGGTGGTTACAAGTCAAAATTGGGGGTCGATGGTGCACCAAAAGGGCAGTTTCAAGTATATAGGCTCCATGATTCAGATAAAGAGAGAGGTTGAGGATGATATAATGCATCACGTGAAGGCATGGTGGGTTAAGTGGAGAGCTGTTACTGGTGTTGTGTAATAGGAAGGTCCCACTAAAATTGAAGTGCAATTCGTCGTCCTTGTTATGTTGTACATCTTAGAATGTTTGATGACAAAGAAGGTGTTAGCATCAAGATTCTTCAGAAATATTACAGGAGGAAAAAACAAAGAAGAGATATATTAAAATAAAAGAGATTTGGTGGAAGCTTTTAATCACCATGCTTTATTATATCAATCCCAATCAATGGTTTTTGGGGGAAGTTGATGTCCGCCCTGAACAAATAGGAGGCGTGGGCCACAGGTCGCACATAAGCCGCCGGATCAGTAGATTATTTAGAACTTCGGAAGATGGTCAAGGTAGCTTGCTTATCCCTTAGTTTTAACTACCTTTATCTATTAGCTTCCTTATCCTACCCTAACTAACTTTTCTTTTGCAGTTTCCTTTTTACTATGCCTAGGTATTTAGTGTAAATAATAGGTTATGAAGTTTGTTTTAGGCACCTTGAATTTTATGCAATTTACTTGAGTTTAGTCCTCTCTACGAACCTTTATTCTATTGAAGATTCTTTGTTCAGATTTGGCAAGTGTCTTCAGTAAGATTATTAGTTTTTCAGTTTTTATCCTAGTTGATCTTTATCAAAAGGCCCATGAGAGAAAGTTAGAAGTTTGCATAATTGAGGATGCTAAGATGGACCTGTGGTTGGACCATATTAGACCGGATACCAAACGAGGTTTTTCGGGAGTTGGGAGTTGCGCCTATCATGGAAAAGTTAAGAGCGGGAAGATCATGGTGGTTTGGACACGTTCACAGGAGATCGATGGTGGCACGGGTGAGGAGAGTAGAAAGTATAAAGGTAGAGAGGGCTAAGAGGGGGTGGAATATGGGGAGGGTTAGGGGCTAGCTGATGAGTTATCAGAGTACGATGGTTGGAGAGATATATGCTTTTCCTTACATTCTCTATGTTTTAGTGTGCCTATTTCTTCTTTCTTTCTTCTTTTTATAGGTGCTTACTATCTACTAGTTTTAGTTCTTTAATCCTTTTCGCTCACACCCTTGCACAAACCTGGGTCTTCACGGAACCAGCCGCTCTACCCTTTAGGGAACATCCCCATACCAGGTTGAATCTTTTGGTATATGACGGTCCTTGAGATTTAGGACTCTTTGGTGCATACTTGTCCTTTGGTGGAGACGGTATGTGACAAAAAGTCGGGGTGGCGCTGTATTGTGTTCTAATATGTAAGCCTCAAAAGGTTGATCGAGGTCTGGGTGGTGGTTGCATATCCTTGGACAAGGCCTTGGCTTAGCTTTGGGTGTGTGAACTTTCCAGCACTTTCAAATTGACTGAAACCTAGTATGATCTATCTGTTTCAGCTGGTGCACTCATTTATTTCTTACAAGATGTGCAATATTTGCTATCAGTTGATTTTTATTTAACTTCAGATTTCCTCGAGTCTTTCTAAATAGAAAAGTACTTTTTATCGTGCAAATGTATGCGTGTTTGTTTATAGATATATGTATAAATTTGTGTGTAATTGCCATAAAGAGGAATGATATATACTAGAGATGATACATAGAAGTAGAACCTTGCTTTTTTGGGTTTTTGATTACTTAAAAGAGGATAGAAATAAAAACTGCATTGACATTTTTTTTATTTTGAGGAATTTAAGGTGGCAAAATTGCACTAAACAATGTGCAAGGCATGTCATATCATCTAGTCATGACAAACGTAGTTTCTCTATGTGATGTTGAAGTATTTTTTTGGTTAATGATTAAGATATTTATCAACATAATTGGCTAAATTAAGCAAGTTAAGTTCTTGCTTATTCAAAAGAATGTTTTTTTGTCAATTTATTAGACGCTTTAACAAAGTCAGAGGAGCAATCTTTGAAAGAGAAGTCTCTTGTTCGCTCAATTTTAAGATTGCAGAAGAAACAGATGCAAGTGACTGAAATCCTCATCAGATTGCAGCGCTATTGTGGCTACATTGTGCCTTATTTCAGTAGTTAGCCATTCCTTGTAGTATTTTCTCTCAGAAAATCATGTTGTGTGTGTGCCATTAGTTAGTCATTCCAACAGTGACTTTTCTCGTAAACTCCAAGCTTGGAGCAGCAAGTATTGTTTACCATAGTCAACAAAACGGAGTCATGACATCACACGTTCTACATTGGACAAGAATGATCTTCCTCACTTCATCTTACAGAATGGTCAAGCCAAAATAGAATCCCAGTTTCACCTACTTCAGGAAATATGTCAAGTCCTATACTCTCACAACTTGAGGGGTACTACTCTCATATGAGTTCCAAGCCTCCAACCCCCTAAACCAAAGTGGCAGCAACCTGAGTGCAGAAAATGGTGGGAAGTTATTTCAGTATCACATCATTCGAGTCCTATATGAAACTCTTGGTGCACAAACATAGTCTATATGGGATGAAATGGTACATGAACTTCTTCCATTCAGCATAAACTCTTTTCAAATGAAAATAGTGAAAAAAGTGAGATGCTTTTAGTGACGCAAGTTATTTCTTATTACATAAACTTGCAAAGTTCCATATGCGGATGTTAGCTATATTCTTGTGTATTTGAATTCTGAAAATTTGGACTTCTATGTGCACTTGCAAAGTTCCATAGGCGAAGCCACGACGATTTCCAAGAAGTGGCTTAAGGAGGCAAAATGTGTCTAAATTATATGTATAATATACATAGGGGTGAGATCGGGAGAGAACCTCAAATAAAAGAACTGGAGAACCACAAAAAAGCGGATGAAAATCTATCAAAATGGATGTCAAGTTAAAGATAATAAAGTGATCGTTTTTTTGTGTAATTTGTTTAGCTCCAATTTTCGCTATATTTCACCACCTATCGTCGATTTAAAAAATAGGGGGGTTTATTTTTTTAAAAGGTGGTTATAACCACCTCTTTAACCACATCCCTTGGATCACAATTACTCAATGATATTGAACTATTTAAATCCATATAAAAAGATAGAGCTTAAAAGTGTTATATCAAGAACTCAATTCAAAAAATTTGTTCTCCCATTGGTTCTACATACCTCTAGTCTATAAGACCATATGCAGGTAATAGAAGGAAAAACGGAAAGTAAGTAATTTTTTTTAAGCCATGTAGGTTTTTGTCGCACACAGCATGCACACGGCATACTGTTTTAAACAGTCAACATGAGTGTACATGGTGAATGAGGGTTGCTCTGCGATGCCATGGTGCATTTTTTAGAATGCTGGTTCACTTTTATTTGTTAGATATTTTCTTCTCCTTAGATATCAATCTTTTACTATTTCTACCAAGGAATGTGTTTTGACTTGTTTAGCTGTTGTGAATCCTTATTGATTGATTGGAGTTGAGAAATGAGTTATTGTGTTGTTGAGGTTAGTGTTACAGTGCCCTAAAATACCTGCTCCTCGTTGGTGCAGCAAAATCTGATGGAGTTTGTGTTTCTCCTGGTGGTCGCTTTCCCCCATATTCTATCCAAGGGAAACCTCCACGAAGAGTAAGCAAGGGACCCAATGATTTGACTCTTTGTAGGGTGTTCCGCAAAAAGACATGCTGTGATGTTACCCAGACTCATCCTGCTTTGCTGTCAATTAGGAGGTTGGCTTCAACAGGAGAGGCAACTGATGAATGCTTGCATTTGTGGGAGCTACTAGAATGTTCTATTTGTGACCCACATGTTGGTGTACAAGCTGGTTCTCCTATCGTCTGCGCCTCTCTTTGTGATAGAATTTATGGTGCTTGCTCTAATGCCTACTTTGCTATGGATGCAAAGAATCAGGTTTGCAGAATATCAAACACATATTTGTTTTAATTGTTGAAGGTTCTCATTGGCCATGGCAATAAACATTTGACAAACTTCTATGTGGTTAAAATGATCTGATATGGCTGGCAGGTCCTAGCTCCGTGTGGAATGAGCGACACCGTCTGTGGTAGAGCCTCTGAATGGGTCTCAAACGGCACTGAGCTCTGCAAGGCTTCTGGATTTTCTGTGAAGCCATCTAATGATTTTAAAGAAACATTTTGCTACGGTGGCAAAACTAGTCTAGAATCTGTTGTGGATTCGTGGAGGAGTTCACAATCTGGTGTTCCACGAAACGCTGAGAGTTCCGGGGTAGTCAATGATTTTCAGCATTGGTTGAGAAAAATGCCAATTAACGAACAAGTGTCATGGGCAGTAGGTGGATTGGTTCTTACAGCAGGGCTTCTCTTTGTAAGGTTAGATTTTCAACCATCCATCTGCAAATGATCAATTTAAGATTCCACCTGCATTTTTTCGTTAAAGACAACTATTTCGTGTGTTGGTGATGGATGCAGTAAAAGAAAGAGTCACAATCAGCGCCAACAAGCGGCTATACAACGTAGCGCAAGAAAGGTAGGGGGGAAAACAAGCCCAAGGTACCCTGCTACTCAAGCAAACAGAAAATGACACATTGTAGATGAAGGAAAGGTTTGATTGATAGTCTTTGTAATATCAGTCAGTTGTAGGTTCACAATCTTTCTTGTGCTTATTATAATTATATGGACATTCGAGTTTGTCTAGTGTTGATGATGGAAAAGAATGTACTAGTTTTTTTTTTTGTTAATGGCATTTTGTGTCCTCAAGGCCCTTTTGCTTTCTAGTTTTTTCGACTTTTTCTGGACGTGTTCCTGGGATTGATTCGTTCGTTTATCCGGCGAGCCTTTAAACTTTGAGCATTTAGGGTCCTACATCAACCGTGGAATTACGCCTAAAAAAACCATTTGGCTTGCAGAAGTCCCAAGGAATTGGAATGACCAATTTAATATTATCAGTATATTGTATTTATGCTTTAAGTAAAAAGTATGAAAATGTAATAAAGGGGTGTTTTTGTAACATACAAATTTCAATTCTGTTCCTGCCAACCAATTAGGTGATCAAACTCGATCCAATTTCTAGTAGTCTTGCGATCTTTATTTCTCGTGACTTCACTAGACAAAGAATTTTCGTCAAGTTGATCTGATTGCAAGGGAGAACAGCTTCAAAGATCAATCACTTCCATGTGTTGATGTAGTTATTGACTTCATCAATCAGGGTACCTTTGGTATGTAGACAAGTCAGATCAAGACATGACAGTTGTTTAAAGTTTGGTAAGACATGACAAAACATAACTAGTTATCAAGTTGCCTTCTAATGAGCTGTTTAGTTTTTATTTTATTTTATTTTATTTATCAAATAATCAATATAAATGAAAATTAAGAAATAGTATTTAAAAATACAAAAAACTGTTATTATTAACCATCAAAACTCAAAATTTAATTTAAAAGAAAAAGAAATGGAGATGGAAATGGATGGTTGGAAGAGAAGTAGATCAAGGTTATTTATGGTGCATGTTGACCATGGAAAAGGAACAAGTTATCTGAAAAGTTATAATGGTTGTAGTTGATAGTACACAAGACACAGTGTGGCAGTAACAGATATCAAAATGGGAAAACCCCACCATCATCCGTGGGGGAGGAGGGACAACAAACACCCAACTCGTCTCAACCATATATATATATTATATATATATATATATATATATATATATATGAGATTATTTTTTTATATTTGAAATTTCACAACAAAACACTGTAGATGTAATCTTATATGTAATTGTTACATATTTTGATTGATGGTATGAAATATATAAATAAGAAGGATGAAATTATACATAAAAAGAAAATGTATTATTTAATTTGAAAATATTAGTTATGAATTGAAAAAGAAAATAGAAAGAAAAAGAAAAAGAAAAATAAAAAAGTTTACCCCCTCCCTGGTTAACATGATGACGCCCGTCTAACACGCAAACCTAACGTGCATCTCTTAACCCATTGTTCTGTCATCTCTCTGCCTTTCACCCAAATCCTCAGAAAGCAACATATGTGTCACCTCTCTTTTCTCACCCACAATACATACATATATATATATATATATATATATACATACATATATATATATATACATACACACACAGAGGTGGGTTCAAATAAAAACCACTCAATTTGTAAAAACCGTGAAAATCTCATTCAATCAATCATAATTTTTCAATTTGTTCATTTTTTTGTAATTATGAGAGGTTCATTAACCATTTTTATTATGAAGGGTGTTAATCATGGATATTATCATCTTCATTATTTTAATTTTAAAGAAATACATGAAACAGTTTCATTAAAATTTCATTAATTAGTATATGAAACAATTTCATAACCACATATGAAACAACTTCATAAAAAAAAGTATTATATGAAACAATTTCACAAGATTAACAATTTCATGAAAAAATTTCATAAGATTAACGACAGATGAAAGTAGTTTTTACGGTTTTTACAAATTGGAGTGATTTTTATTTGATCGCTCCTCTACACACACATATACGTATATATATATATATATATATATACATGCATGCATACACATATATACTTTTTTTATACTAATTTATACTCAGAGACATATTATCACATGTGATAATACGTAACTCGTACTCACGAACATATGATATGTACAAAAATTCGTAGAACGTATCATATGAGATACATAACAGATCATATGTTAAACATAATTAATCACAATTCAAAAGGTGGATCCAAAATTAAAGAGAAAAAATGATGAAAAAGATCCGTTGTGGATATTATATTAGTATTTAAAAAAATTGCGAAAAAGAATCTTATCAAAACTACATGATGAAACCTTTTGAATACTAAAACAAATTTTTTGTACCATTAACTGTCACGAATAAAATTGTTTTGCCGTTTAATCTACCGAACTCATGTGACTCATTGTCACCTACAATGAGTTAGGTATATCATAATAAATTATGAAATATAAAACATACTATAATCAACTAAAAATAATGAAACACTTTGAATACTAAAACATTTATTTTGTATCATTAAATCAATAAACAAAACTATTTCATCGTTTATAGAACGAACTCACGTGTCTGCCATTGAAAAAAGACCGATTGTCATGTAGTGTTGAACGATGAAACATATAAAGAATGAAACATTTTTAAAATTTTAATGAGACATTTTGAAAACTGAATATTTTTTATTTAATGAACGTTTTTCATGCATAAAACGTTCCTAAATATTGTGAAACTGTTTGTTGGTCATTATTGAACATGAAATTAGTTTCATTATTCAATGTACATATATTTTTTCAATGAAACGGAAGACAATATTCTATTGCTTTTAAAATTCATATTTTTATAAAATATAATGGTAAAAAATAATAAAACATATTAATGGTAAAACATTTATATTAAGAAGAAATGATTTACCTCCTTATATATGAAACGTTTCCATTATTACGTATCCAAAATTAACAATATCTATTACCTTCCAATATTAATCAATATACAATTAAATGACTATTACACCCAACCTGATTAAAATTAAAGAAAAAAACGGAATTTTCCTATTGGTCGAAAATGGTTTGCATGGTTTTCATGAATTGAGCGGTTTGCAACGTAACCTGTCTCTCTCTCTATATATATAATAGATTAAGTCGAACCCTTTATCTATATCAAAATGTGGAGACAGTTTCTATAAATGCTCACATTTTGTAGTGTGCATGTTTGTATGTATGCGCGCACACACACACAAACATATTTATAGGGAGAGTCTCCTTTTACAAACCTAATAATCCGTATAAATCTAAAAACAAGTTTTATTAATTGTTTCATATATGAAATGAAATAACACGCTTGAAAATGCATTGTTATACAATGTTGTTTCATATGTGAGACATGAAGATTATTTTCCCACACACAAAATAGTAATAAACATTTCACATGTGAAAAAACAATGTATAAACACCACATTTTTACATATCGTGTTTTATATGTGAAACAACACACGTGAAGTGGTTTGTAAGTTTTATATTCCCATCTCACATGCATGGGCGAATTTAGTGTATGTTGGTAGGGGTTAGGCGCCCAACAAACCCACTAATTTAAAAAAAAAAGACTAAAAAGATTTGTTCAGTAAATTTTTCTACTATGCGTCCAACAAGAACAAGGTAAGGGTCCCCCAAACAAGAAGAAGGCAAGGGCCCCCAACTTGATATCCTGATTGTTAATTGGTCCATTTGGAGCACACATTGATATTTTTTTTTCGAAATATAAAATATAAAAATTATACACCTCGATTTTGAATTAGTAAAAAGTCAACTAAAAATTGACCTGTATAAGTTATTTTTATCCGGTTAACTAAGCCGAAAAGGAAAACCCAAAATCGTTTTCATCCGGATGAATTATTTGGTTTTAAAAAAAAATTCTGCACCCCTAAGTGTGCCCCCAACTATAAAAGTTTTTGGATCCGTCATTGCTCACATGTCAGGAAATGATATTGCTAAATAGTATGTAAACCTATAGGGTTTCACACATAGAATATGTACTCTTCAATAAGATTATTGGATAATCAGAAAACCGAATAGTGTCTTATGTTAGGAATGCTAATAATTATTTGAGTAATTACGGAGTTGGTCTCTGAGGTTTCCAAAATATCTTAGATTTAGTCCCCAGAATTTGTTTATTACAAGATAGATCCCAGAGTTTGTATTTCCGTAACACATCAGTCCTTGCCACTAACGGTAGTTAACTCTTATCCGTTAATTAAGGGGCATTTTTGTCTTGTTTGTCCTTTTTTTTATCTTTTTCCTCTTTTGTTTTATTAAGGTTTTTTTGTTTTTCTCTTTATTAATATTACCTATTAAACCAAACTCAGGTCACAACTCCTATCCTTTTTTGAACTTTTCTTACCGGTCGGACATTCCATTCCTCCTTGTTTATCCGATGAACCCCTCCCTCCCCTTTTTCGGAAAACCCCTTCTCATTTCTCGTTGAACCACCAACCTCACTCCTTCCCTCTTATCCTTCACCTACCAACTCCGATCGCATCTCAACCGAAAACCCATCAGGCGGAAGTTGCGGTTTCGAGCCCTATCAGTCCCTACGCCGGATTCTCTTACTAAAAGAAGAAAGAAAAAGGTGATCGTCTAGTTCTTTTCCCTTTCCCATGTTGACTTAATCAAGCAATTCAACTTGAAATCAAAGAAAGGGAAGTTTAGTCAAGAATCATGACCCTAGGCTTGGCTTGACCCTGTGTTCTCTCCTAGTCGGGTCGAAAGAATTACCTCTTCTAAACCGGAATAAGCCCCAACTAGAGATGGAATTCCAGAACCTAAACCACTCTGTCTTTCCCTACCGTTAGGAGAGAAGCTTAAAGAGATGAGGGATCACCACCTCAATATACACTCAAACCCAGAACCATCTCATTTGAACCACCACCCTCTCTACCCTTGCCCTAATCATCGACCCCTTTCCCTCTTTAAGTTTTCTATGAGCAACCCTTCATTTTGAAGATAGTGTTTGACGAGCAAAGTCAAAACCTAGAAACCCAGATGTAGATATAGGTAAAACCAAAATCAAAACACAAAAGCCCAAATTTTCGTCTTTACTTCCCATATGGCTGGAACAAAGAAGAAGAAATCATCTCAATTTGGTGATGTTTCGTCCCAGATTCATCTCAATTTGGTCCCAGTTATAACTTGATTTGGTCTATGTTTCATCTTGATTGGG